ACCGGAAAAAAATTTTCTAAGAAAAAAATTATTTAAAAAAAATAATCTAAGAAAATTAACGCCGGAAAAAAAATGTCTAAGAAAAAGAACGCTGAAAAAAAATAATTGTAAAAGGGAACAAAATATAAAAAAAAATAATATAAAAAAATTCACGCTGGAAAAAATTTTTCTAAGAAAAAAAACGGCGGAAAAAAATTTTCTAAGAAAAAAAACGCCGGAAAAAAAGTTTCTAAGATTAAGAACGCTGAAAAAAAATAATTGTAAAAGGGAAAAAAATGTTAAAAAAAAATAGTCTAAAAAAATTTACACCGGAAAAAATTTTTCTAAGAAAAAAAACGTCGGAAAAAAATAATTGTCGAAAGGAAAAAATTATTTAAAAAAAACAATCCAAGAAGATTAACGCCGGAAAAAAATTTTTTAAAAATAAAAACGCTGGAAAAAAATTTTCCAAGAAAAAGAACGCTGAAAAAAAATAATTGTAAAAAGGAAAAAATATATATAAAAAAATAATCCAAGAAAATTAACGCCGGAAAAAAAAATTCTAAGAAAAAAAACGCCGGAAAAAAATTTTCTAAGAAAAAAAACGCCGGAAAAAAATAATTGTAGAAAGGAAAAAATATAAATAAAAAAATAATCCAAGAAAATTAACGCCGGAAAAAAAAATTCTAAGAAAAAAAACGCCGGAAAAAAATTTTCTAAGAAAAAAAACGCCGGAAAAAAAAATTCTAAGAAAAAAAACGCCGGAAAAAAATTTTCTAAGAAAAAAAACGCCGGAAAAAAAAATTCTAAGAAAAAAAACGCCGGAAAAAAATTTTCTAAAAAAAAAAACGCCGGAAAAAAATAATTGTAGAAAGAAAAAAATATATATAAAAAAATAATCCAAGAAAATTAACGCCGGAAAAAAAAATTCTAAGAAAAAAAACGCCGGAAAAAAATTTTCTAAGAAAAAAAACGCCGGAAAAAAATAATTGTAGAAAGGAAAAAATTATTTAAAAAAAATGATTTAAGAAAATTAACGCTGGAAAAATTTTTTTTAAGAAAAAAAACGCTGAAAAAAAATAATTGTAAAAGGGAAAAAAATATATAAAAAAAAAAATCCAAGAAAATTAACGGCAGAAAAAAAATTCTAAGAAAAAAAACGCCGTAAAAAAATTTTCTGAGAAAAAAACGCTGGAAAAAAATTTCCTAAGAAAAAGAACGTCAAAAAAAAATAATTTTAAAAGGGAAAAAAATGCGAAAAAAAAATAATCTAAGAAAATTCACGCCGGAAAAAAGAACGCTGACAAAAAATAATTGTAAAAAGGAACAAAATATATAAAAAAAATAATCTAAAAAAATTCACGCTGGAAAAAATTTTTCTAAGAAAAAAAACGGCGGAAAAAAATTTTCTTAGAAAAAAAACGCCAGAAAAAAGGTTTCTAAGATTAAGAACGCTGAAAAAAAATAATTGTAAAAGGAAAAAAAATGTTAAAAAAAATTAATCTAAAAAAATTCACACCAGAAAAAATTTTTCTAAGAAAAAAAACGCCGGAAAAAAATAATTGTCGAAAGGAAAAAATTATTTAAAAAAAATTATCCAAGAAAATTAACGCCGGAAAAAATTTTTTTAAGAATAAAAACGCTGGAAAAAAATTTTCTAAGAAAAAGAACGCTGAAAAAAAATAATTGTAAAAAGGAAAAAGAAAAAATATATATAAAAAAATAATCTAAGAAAATTAACGCCGGAAAAAAAAATTCTAAGAAAAAAAACGCCGGAAAAAAATTTTCTAAGAAAAAGAACGCTGAAAAAAAATAATTGTAAAAAGGAAAAAAATATATAAAAAAAAATTATCTCAGAAAATTAACGGCAAAAAAAAAATTTCTAAGAAAAAAAACGCCGGAAAAAAATTTTCTAAGAAAAAAAACGCCGGAAAAAAATAATTGTAGAAAGGAAAAAATTATTTAAAAAAAATTATTTAAGAAAATTAACGCCGGAAAAATTTTTTTTAAGAAAAAAAACGCTGAAAAAAAATAATTGTAAAAGGGAAAAAAATATATAAAAAAAAAATCCAAGCAAATTAACGGCAGAAAAAAAATTCTAAGAAAAAAAACGCCGTAAAAAAATTTTCTGAGAAAAAAACGCTGGAAAAAAATTTCCTAAGAAAAAGAACGTCGAAAAAAAATAATTTTAAAAGGGAAAAAAATGCGAAAAAAAAATAATCTAAGAAAATTCACGCCGGAAAAAAGAACGCTGACAAAAAATAATTGTAAAAAGGAACAAAATATATAAAAAAAATAATCTAAAAAAATTCACGCTGGAAAAAATTTTTCTAAGAAAAAAACTGGCGGAAAAAAATATTCTAAGAAAAAAAACGCCGGAAAAAAAGTTTCTAAGATTAAGAACGCTGAAAAAAAATAATTGTAAAAGGGAAAAAAATGTTAAAAAAAAATAGTCTAAAAAAATTTACACCGGAAAAAATTTTTCTAAGAAAAAAAACGTCGGAAAAAAATAATTGTCGAAAGGAAAAAATTATTTAAAAAAAACAATCCAAGAATATTAACGCCGGAAAAAAATTTTTTAAAAATAAAAACGCTGGAAAAAAATTTTCTAAGAAAAAGAACGCTGAAAAAAAATAATTATAAAAAGGAAAAAATATATATAAAAAAATAATCCAAGAAAATTAACGCCGGAAAAAAAAATTCTAAGAAAAAAAACGGCGGAAAAAAATTTTCTAAGAAAAAAAACGTCGGAAAAAAATAATTGTAGAAAGGAAAAAATTATTTAAAAAAAATGATTTAAGAAAATTAACGCCGGAAAAATTTTTTTTAAGAAAAAAAACGCTGAAAAAAAATAATTGTAAAAGGGAAAAAAATATATAAAAAAAAAAATCCAAGAAAATTAACGGCAGAAAAAATTTTTCTAAGAAAAAAAACGCCGGAAAAAATTTTCTCAGAAAAAAACCCTGGAAAAAAATTTCCTAAGAAAAAGAACGTCGGAAAAAAATAATTTTAAAAGGGAAAAAAATGCTAAAAAAAAATAATCTAAGAAAATTCACGCCGGAAAAAATTTTTCTGAGAAAAAAAACGCCGGAAAAAAATAATTGTAGAAAGAAAAAAAAAATTTTCAGAAAAAAAACGGTGGAAAAAAAATTTCTAAGAAAAAGAACGCTGAAAAAAAATAATTGTAGAAGGGAAAAAAATATATATAAAAAAATAATCTAAGAAAATTAACGGCAGAAAAAAATTTTCTAAGAAAAAAAACGCCGGAGAAAAATAATTGTAGAAAGGAAAAAATTATTTAAAAAAAATAATCTAAGAAAATTAACGTCGGAAAAATATTTTTCCTACAGCCGTGCGGAAAAATCGATTTTCCGCACTGATATGCGTGCGGAAAATGAGATTTCCCGCACGGTGCGGTAAAACTTTTACCGCACGCATATCAGTGCGGAAAAAGTTTTTCCGCACGGCTGTCAGTGCGGAAAAAATTTTACCGCACTGATCTGTCAAAAAAAAAAAGAAAAATTTTACATTTTTACGCCTGTAGGAAAAATATTGTACCTAACACTTGCGGAAAAATTAATTTTCCGCGCTTGTTAGGTAAATAGCTATTTTATGAAAAAAAACGCCGGAAAAAAATTTTCTAAGAAAAAGAACGCTGAAAAAAAATAATTGTAAAAGGGAAAAAAATACATAAAAAAAATAATCTAAGAAAATTAACGGCAGAAAAAATTTTTCTAAGAAAAAAAACGTCGGAAAAAAATTTTCTAAGAAAAAAAACGCCGGAAAATATTTTTCTAAGAAAAAAAACGCCGGAGAAAAAATTTCTAAAAGAACGCTGAAAAAAAATAATTGTAAAAGGGAAAAAAATATTTAAAAAAATAATCTAAGAAAATTAACGGCAGAAAAATTTTTTTAAGAAAAAAATGCTGGAAACAAATTTTCTAAGAAAAATAACGCTAAAAAAATAATTGTAAAAGGGAAAAAAATATAAAAAAAAATAATTAAAAATAATTAACGGCAGAAAAAAAATTTCTAAGAAAAAAAACGTTGGAAAAAAATTTTTTAAGAAAAAAAACACTGAAAAAAATAATTTTAAAAGAAAAAAAATGTAAAAAAAAAAATTATCTAAGAAAATTAACGCCGGAGAAATTTTTTTTAAGAAAAAAAACGCCGGAAAAAAATTTTCTAAGAAAAAGAACGCTGAAAAAAAAAATTGTAAAAGGGAAAAAAAATAATCGAAGAAAATTAATGGCAGAAAAAAATTTCTAAGAAAAAAAACGCCGGAAAAAAAACGCTGGAAAAAATTTCCTAAGAAAAAGAACGTCGAAAAAAAAATTATTTTAAAAGGAAAAAAAATGCTAAAAAAAATAATCTAAGAAAATTCACGCTGGAAAAAAATTTTCTAAGAAAAAAAACGCTGATAAAATGTTAGATGGTGCATTTTTGCCTAATTTAGTTGATTTTCATTAATTTTCAATGGAGTTAGTTATTTTTCATTTGAAAAATTTGAAATTTTATTATGTCACGCCCCTGATTTTTCCACTGCAAATTTTGACATAATAACAATACGTCAAACCCAAATGCCCAAAAAAAAACCCGTTTATTTTAAAGTACAAAATTCTCCAAAGAAACCCCATAAGGATGTAGACTGCAAATGTTCCAAGCCGCAACAGCAATTCGCTGGCCTATTGCGTGAAGTTGCAGTCAAATGTCCGAAGAATTATCGGAAAATAGACGAGCCTAAAAGTAAAGCGGTCGTCCCCAAACGGCACCCCATTTTGGTGTTGCGGCAAAAATGCAAAAAGGGGGAAATTGTAGGAGAGACCGCTTCCAGCCCCTTGTATACCGCTTCAATGTTGTCATATGGTCACATAAATTTCGGAAAGTGGAAGATCTATTTGGTAAAAATTATACATTCGCATAAATTTGTTGCCCTTAGGGACAGTTTCACCCCTTTTCATTAACTAATTAATTCTATCGTGTATGTATGCCGATAATAACGAGCCTTTTCAGTGTTTAAAATGTCCTCAATAGCAAAAGAATTAATAATATTGAAATCCCAAACCAAAAAACGTTCAAATATGGTGGTACCATCATTAACACATCCTAAGCGCATTACTATTACATTTAGCAAACGCGGTACCACCTTAATCAATAATAATAATGTTAAAACTTTTAAGGTACCACACCGTTATAAATAAAACAATTAATTAAAAAATTGTTTTAGTTTGGCGAAAAAGGTTCCGGCTTTAAATCCAAAGGGGAACCGCAAGATTTCTACACCTTGCGAGATCAAAATTTGGAAAACGGTACCATGTTTGAGGATCCGGAATTCCCTGCTGACGACCGCTCCTTGTTTTTCAGTCAAAGACCCGACCGGTACTACGAGTGGAAAAGGCCACACGTAAGTACCAATGTATTTTGTTTAAAGCTTTTTGATTCAATGTATTTTTTTTTTATAGGAAATTTGCGATAATCCTCAATTTTTCGTTGAAGGATATTCGAGATTTGACGTGCAACAAGGCGAATTAGGGGATTGTTGGCTGTTAGCCGCTGCGGCTAATTTGACCTTGTACAATCGACTCTTTTTACAAATTGTACCAGACGATCAAGAATTTGACGACAAGTACGCTGGAATTTTCCATTTTAGATTTTGGCAATATGGCAGATGGGTGGACGTAGTTATAGACGACAGGTTGCCCACTTACAACGGCCAATTGATTTTCCTACATTCGACCGAGGATAATGAGTTTTGGAGTGCCTTACTAGAGAAAGCATATGCAAAGTAAGCAGCATACTTTTAATCTATAGTACATAGCTGTCAGAAAAAAGTATCTTAGTCATAAGCGCAACTATAGGCTTCAAATTTAAGGGGTGTCTTATGATATGATGGGGTTTGTACTTATGTCATCATTTGCCTATTCGGGGTTCGTTCGAATAAAACTTTTGTCGCACGACATTTTGGCAATATTGTCACCTGTCAAATTTGACACATGTTCAACTTTTTCACCGCTCTACTATAAAAAATTACGGTAATCAAACCCCGGTACAAAGCAGTTCCGCAACGCCAACTATTGATTTGTGTCAAAAAAAAATTGACAGCTGTCAACGTCATATTTTGCGAATTTTGAGAAAAAAAAGTGGTAGAAAACGTCTCCCGGACCCCATAAACTTTCAATAAAAATTCCAAAAAAAAAATCAACGAAAATAACATTCCAAAACCTACTTGATAAAACTCAAATTTTTCTCACTTACCCCGTTAAAACACTGGAAATTTTTGGTGGAAAATGAAGAAAACTCAAAGTCTCGTACTTTAAATTAGTTTTTCCGACTGAAAAAGCCCCGGAAAAGTGGAAATTCGAAGAAAAACTGAATAAAAATGTAAACACGTCAATTGAAAATGGCCGCCAGCCACAAGCGATGTTGCCACATCAAAAGCATTTTAAATGGGATTTTGCTAATTATGGCATTTAAAACTAGAAATTTTTACTAAAAAATTAATAAAACTTAAAGCCTCGTACTTTAAATCGGTTTTTCTGACCAGAAAAGCCCTGAAAAATCGGACAAATCCAAAGAAAAACTTCTAAAAATTACATTCCAAAGCCTACTTAATGAAATTTGAGTTTTTGTCACTTACCCCATTGGAAAACTGAGAATTTTTAGCACAAAATGTAGGAAATTCAAAGCCTCGTATTTGAAATCGGTTTTCTTGACTGAAAACGGCCTGGAAAAGCGAAAAAATTGGAGAAAAAACTGGATAGAAATGTAAATACGTCAATTAAAAATTGCCGACTGTCAAAACTGGCAAATGACATTTATTACAAAACCTATTTGAAGTTGGTACAAACGGTGTTGCCACATCAAAACTTAAAAAAAAAACATTTTAAATGGGATTTTGTTATTTATGTCATTTTAAAACTGGACATTTTTGCTAGAAGATGAAGAAAACTCGAAGCCTCGTATGTTAAATCGCCTTTTTCCATTGAAAAGCCCCGGAAAAGTGAAAAATTCGAGGAAAAACTGGCAAAAAATCACAAGGCGTTCCTTCAAAATGGCCAACCAAAAGCAACGTTGCCACATCTCATTTCGGAAAACAAAAATAACATTTTAAAAGGGTTTTTTGTTTAAAATTCAATTTAATAATTAATTAATAATGATTATAATAATTAAAATTCCCCAAATAAATCATAGGAAACTTATTTTTAGTTTAATTTCAATGAAAATGACATTACAAGGTTTCCTTATTGATTATAGTGAGTAAGACAAAGACAACGATAAAGCAGTATATGTTTGCAAAAACCACCGTTTTCTGAAAAAAGTAAAAATCTTAAGAAAACCAACATTCCAAAGCCAATTTGATAGAACTAAAGTTTTTGAATATTCCCGGCTTTTCAATTGGGCGCTAAAAATTGCATTTTAAATATTCCCGGTTTTTGATTGGCTCTAAATTATCCGCTGACCAATAGAATTATAAACTGAGCCCCGTGATTGAAATAACTCTAGCCCTTTTGGCTCGTATATAACTCCGGCTTTTCGGGCTCGCATATAACTCTGGCCCTTCAAACCAGTATTACTGAGTATCCCGACCCAGATAATATGAAAAAAAATTTTTATTCTTTTTTCAAATGTCATTTTTTGACAGGTCCAAACTTATTAAAAAAAATATATATTCTTTTCAAACGTCATTTTTTGACAGGTCCAATCTTAAAAGAAATTTTTTTTTTCAAATGTATATATTTTTTTTTGACCAAGGTCCAATCACACCTATATTTATTTTTATTTTTTTCAAGTGAGTCATTTTTTTTTGATATGTCCAATAATATGAACAAAAATTTTTTTTTTTCAAATGTCATTTTTTGACAGGTCCAAATTTATAGATTTTTTTTTTTTCAAACGTCATTTTTTGACAGGTCCAATCTTATAAAAAAAAAATTTTTTTCAAATTAAAGGTCTGATGACAGTCCAATAATATGTTTTTTTTTTTTTTAAATGTCATTTTTTGACAGGTTCAAACTTATAAAAAAAATAAAATTTTTCAAACGTCATTTCTCGACAGGTCCAAACCTATAAAAAAATAATTAAATTTCAAATGAATATTTTTTTTTTTTGACAGGTCCAATGACACCTATAATTTTTATTTTTTTTTTCAAGTGTCATTTTTTGACAGGTCCAAAGTTATACATTTTTTTTTTCAAACGTCATTTTTTGACAGGTCCAATCTTATAAAAAAAATATTTTTTTTCAAATTACAGGTCCGATGACACCTATAAATTATTATTTTTTTTTTTCAAGTGTCATTTTTTTTTTGACAGGTCGAATAATATGAAAAAGTTTTTTTTTTTTTTCAAATGTCATTTTTTCACAGGTCCAAAGTTATAAAAAAATTTTTTTTTTTCAAACGTCATTTTTTGACAGGTCCAATCTTATAAAAAAAAATTCTTTTTCAAATTACAAGTCGGATGACACCTATAAATTATTATTATTATTTTTTTTTCAAGTGTCTTTTTTTTTTGACAGGTCCAATAATATGAAAATTTTTTATTTTTTTTTCAAATTTCATCTTTTCACAGGTCCAAAGTTATAAAATTTTTTTTTTTTTAAACGTCATTTTTTGACAGGTCCAATCCTATAAAAAAAAAAAATTTCAAATGATTTTTTTTTTTGACAGGTTCAATGACTCCTAATTTTTTTATTTTTTTTTTCAAGTGTCATTTTTTTTTGACAAGTCCAATAATATGATTTTTTTTTTTTTTTTTCAACGTTATTTTTTGACAGGTCCAATCCTATAAAAAAAATACAGGTCCAATGATACCTATAAATTATTATTTTTTTTTTTGCAAGTGTCATTTTTTTTTGACAGGTACCTACAATAATATGAATTTTATTTTTTTTAATGTCATTTTTTGACAGGTTCAAACTTTGAAAAAAAAATTTTTTTTTTTTTCAAACGTCATTTTTTGACAAGTCCAATCCTATAAAAAAATATTTTTTTTTCAAATGAATCTTTTTTCAAATATTATTTTTTGACAGGTCCAAACTTATAAAAAAAAATTTTTTTTTTTCAAACGTCATTTTTTGACAAGTATTAAAAAAAAATTTTTTCAAATTAATTTTTTTTTTGACAGGTCCAAAGTTATAAAAATTTTTTTTTTTTAAACGTCATTTTTTGACAGGTCCAATACTATAAAAAAAAAAAAATTCAAATTAATTTTTTTTTGACAGATTCAAGGACTCCTAATTTTTTTATTTTTTTTTCAAGTGTCATTTTTTTTTGACAAGTCCAATAATATGATTTTTTTTTTTTTTTTTCAACGTTATTTTTTGACAGGTCCAATCCTATAAAAAAAATACAGGTCCAATGATACCTATAAATTATTATTTTTTTTTTTGCAAGTGTCATTTTTTTTTGACAGGTACCTACAATAATATGAACAAATTTTTTTTTTTTCAAACGTTATTTTTTGACAGGTCCAATCTTATAAAAAAAATTTTTTTTTCAAATTAAAGGTCTGATAGTCCAATAATATGTTTTTTTTTTTTAAATGTCATTTTTTGACAGGTCCAAACTTATAAAAAAATAAAATTTTTCAAACGTCATTTCTCGACAGGTCCAAACCTATAAAAAAATAAATAAATTTCAAATGAATATTTTTTTTTTTTGACAGGTCCAATGACACCTATAATTTTTATTTTTTTTTTCAAGTGTCATTTTTTTTTTGACAGGTGCAATAATATGAAAAAGTTTTTTTTTTTTTTCAAATGTCATTTTTTCACAGGTCCCTCCAAAGTTATAAAAAATTTTTTTTTTTTCAAACGTCATTTTTTGACAGGTCCAATCTTATAAAAAAAAATTCTTTTTCAAATTACAAGTCGGATGACACCTATAAATTATTATTATTATTTTTTTTTCAAGTGTCATTTTTTTTTGACAGGTCCAATAATATGAAAATTTTTTATTTTTTTTTCAAATTTCATCTTTTCACAGGTCAAAAGTTATAAAATTTTTTTTTTTTAAACGTCATTTTTTGACAGGTCCAATCCTATAAAAAAAAAAAATTTCAAATGAATTTTTTTTTTGACAGGTTCAATGACTCCTAATTTTTTTATTTTTTTTTCAAGTGTCATTTTTTTTTGACAAGTCCAATAATATGATTTTTTTTTTTTTTTTTTCAACGTTATTTTTTGACAGGTCCAATCCTATAAAAAAAATACAGGTCCAATGATACCTATAAATTATTATTTTTTTTTTTTGCAAGTGTCATTTTTTTTTGACAGGTACCTACAATAATATGAATTTTATTTTTTTTAATGTCATTTTTTGACAGGTTCAAACTTTAAAAAAAAAATTTTTTTTTTTTTCAAACGTCATTTTTTGACAAGTCCAATCCTATAAAAAAATATTTTTTTTTCAAATGAATTTTTTTTCAAATGTTATTTTTTGACAGGTCCAAAGTTATAAAAAAAAATTTTTTTTTTTCAAACGTAATTTTTTGACAGGTCCAAACTTATTTTAAAAATTTTTTTTTTTTTAAACGTCATTTTTTGACAGCTCCAATGACACCTATATTTATTTATTTTTTTTCAAGTGTCATTTTTTTTTTTGACATGTCCAATAATATGAACAAAATTTTAATTTTTTTTTCAAATATCATTTTTTGACAAATCCAAATTTATAGATTTTTTTTTCAAACGTCATTTTTTGACAAGTATTAAAAAATTTTTTTTTCAAATTAATTTTTTTTTTGACAGGTCCAAAGTTATAAAAAAATTTTTTTTTTAAACGTCATTT